CCATGGCTGGTGTGGTCGAAGCTACTTCAAGGGCAGTAAAGATGGTAAAGGATTGGTAGGAGTATGGTCAAGGACACTTTTGAGGCCAAAAAGCCATCCTGGACGGCATATTTCCATGTTTGTTATCGAGCACGAGGCGGTCTACCCCGGGCCAAGTAGTCGAACGGTGGTATATGTACTTCTTGAACAGCATGTCTCATCCCGTGGGTCAGACCCACTAGCCTTCTTGCTTCTCGTGCTTTCAGTCCAGCCCTGCCGCTGCTGGTGCTATTCCTTTCGTGCTTGAGCCCTTCTTGGCACCGCCGCCGCCGCCTCCTCCAAAACCGCCGCCACCGAACATGCCGCCTAGCATGTCCAGCATCGGGTTGCCCTGCCGCGGTATCTTGATGCCAAAATACATTTCGCCGAGCTGGTCCAGAGCCTCGTTCCAATTTACTTCCTTCAGATCTGTTGCGTAATGGCTCTTGAGCTGTCTAAACAGACTCGGGTCGCCTCGCTCCACGCTCCTCAGTAGGAGGCCGATGAAGTTGAGCAATGGTAACGTGGGGTATGTGCGAAGATCTGAGGCAGATGTCGATATTTGCTGCGTGTTGAGGCCGGGCTTCTTGGAGAGGAAAGCTGTGAACAGGAGGAAGAACTTGTTCGCGGCGCGCAGATTGCCGGTGAGGAGGTAGGGCAGTACGCCGCGGGCGCAGTATAAGGGAGCGGTATGCGGCTCATCGGCTTCGTACCATGCGAATTCGAGGGTTGCGAGCGTGGACGGCGAGTCTTGGTTGCCGAGGAGGAGATGTCGCTCGGCCTCATACGGCTCGAGTTCTGCATGACGGTAAGTGAGTTGACGGCGAGAGGCTTGCAGCAAGACAGTGCATACCATCTGCATATAGGCTCCCCGCAACGTGGTGTATCTCCGGGTCGCCTGCGGGATATTCGCCAAACTTTGCGCTCCAGCCAATCATCTCGCCGACAAACTTCTTCTTCGTCGGCTCATCCTTGGGGAATGCCCTCAGCAGGCCTAGGAGCTTCCCCTTACTGCTCGCGTCTGGCTTGACTTCGCCCTTGTTGAAGACATCCAGCAGGAAAATGCACAGATCGCCGCCGGACCCGCCCTGCCCGGCCTGCAGGAGCGACTGCGCGCCCGTGTGGAGGATTGAGGTCGCGTTTTCCCAGTCCTGTGCCTTCACATAGCGCGAGGCAATGACGCGGAGCTGCTGGTGCGCTTCGTAGAACTGGCCCTCGGCGATTCTGGCGGCGTTAGCGGCGTTGCACGGTTCGGTGGGGCGCCAAGATCACTTTTGCTGTTGTCGCTGTATTGTCTTCTCTAGTTTCGAGGCCATTGTGGGGGGTTGTTGGCAAGGAAAGTGTGCTGTGTTTTGGTCTGCGTGGAGCGTAAACTTGCAGGAGATGCTGGGGACGGAATGACGCAGGAGCGGCCCTAACGTTAGCGGGGTCAATCCATCCCATCCCACCTGCCAACCTCAGCCGCTCACCCACATTCAACTTCACTTGACATGGCCGGGCAGTCCCACTCAAGGCTCAACATCAGTCAGCCAACCCCGCGCCCACTTGGAGATTAGCATTTCCGCAGCAATGTGATCGATCCGGACCGGGCCGCTACGCCCCAATCCTTCCATCCAAAGATGCCGTCTTGGTCATCTAGCTGTCTATTTCGTATTTCCCTCATCAAAAGGCGTCTGCCATGCTAGGAGTGATTCATGTTCGACTCCCGGACATATCGATACTTGACATCTGCAGCCGAAGCATTGGCCTACTGTGCTAGGACATGATAAACATACCTACACAGTAGAACCACGGGCAAGTGAGCTCAATCGGTCATGGCACATTCTATTCTTATCCGTACATGGGCTGGTGCCCTGGCCCATGTTTGCGAATCACATAACTCACTTGCAGGCAATGCGGCCGGATAATATCCCGATCAGCAACTCATTGGCCGAACGGTTAGTGGGACTTCATATCGAATGCCTGCCACTGCCGCTAAACCGCATGCCCGCTTGATACATGCTGGATAGATCCGAAGGTTTATTTCAGGGCCGCTGCAGGCACGTCTACAAAAGGTCTGCGTAGATTCGGATGCGTCCATGGCATCCAAAATGGGCGAAAGAGCCGTGCTGGCTTGCACTTAATGCGCACGATACCTCTTGTATTTCGACACGAGTATAGGACTTGCACGATAACCTCAACATTTCAGCTGGCACACTCTCTTGCCCATTGAGTTCGTCCACGTCCTTCATCATGTCCGAGATCGAAGACCGCTTCGTGAAGAAAGGGTAAGCCAAGCTTGCCGCCCCCCGGAATTTGATTGACGATATAGGTTTTGGATCAATCGCGGCCATGGCCAAGTCATGGGTCAAACCCTCACCGTCGAAGCCCGCACTGGCACGGTCATCGTGGCCTTGCTCACCATTCTTGCTTCGATTGGCACAGCTCAACTCTGGAATTTGTTCACGTTCCTCCTCCATCAGTACCAAGCGGATGGTCAGGATGCCGATGGCCTGTTTTGGCAGCATCAAGCGTTGCTGCGAACCATGCCCACGCCTACAGCACTCATGGCAGATACCCTGAAGCTGTCATGGACTTGGAAGAACAAAGTACCTCGGGCCCTACTTCGATGCTTGGCTACTTTCCTGGTGGCCTTGTGCTTTGCCATAGCAGCCATCGCAGCTGGTATCTCAACCGCCTTCGCCATCGACAGCTCCAATATAGAGGTTCTAGTGGACAGCCCGATGTGTGGAAGGATGAACTACACCAAAGTGTACGCCAACAGAACCACCTCTACATTGCTGGCGTCAATTGACGACACAGTCGACACGTATGCTCGTAATTGCTACAAGTATAACACATCTCTACCTGCACCGTGTCGAAATACCTTCAGCCGACCGAACATATCATTTAGCGTTGCCCCTGCCCCCTGTCCTTGGGACGCGTCAATGTGCCATGGTGGCGAATTGCCGGCACTAGCTATGGACTCGGGAATTGTTGACATGAGAACTCATTTCGGCATCAATGTTGCACAAGTGGACTCTATCAAGATGCAGCGAAAGACGGTCTGCAGTGTATTGCCCATGAAGGATCGCGTCGTTACGAGGAACGCATCTTGGTGGGCAGCGCGTGGATTCAATGACACGAAGACCACGATCGAGTATGGAACGTTCCGTGACACTGACCCAATCTTGAGGCCAGAAGCTACATTCCTCCAATCTGCAACCTTGACCGAAAGTCAACAATCTTACGGCTCCGATGGCGCTGTAAATTATTCCCATCCAGACGATACCGCGCTGGGCTTCAACACCCTTCCCGAAATGCGACGATCTGACGCAGATTTGTCTCTCATGGCTATCTGGCTTAATGACGTCGTGTATGAGAAGCCTGTGAACGATCCCTTGTTCTCAGCGCATCAAGAGTGGATCTATCTGCCTGGTGGTAGCCATGCTGGTGTCCCACTGTACCGCTCCGATAATGCAGCTGGCGTCATTGGATGCGCGGAGCAGGTATGATAGCCTTTCCTCAGTTGTGAGTGCAAGGCACTAACCTCTTCAGTATCGATACTGCGTACCACGAGCTGGCACAACAGACTTCTGCACTTCCGCAGGAGGTAGCCCACTAGACGGCTTTACGGCAGATTTCCCACATCTCAAACCAGTTCAAGTTCGCCTTCTGCAATTGCTGCGCTCTATAGCACGACTAGCCAAGATCAAGGAAGGTGCTCAATACAAAAATGTATTGGCTCAGAGTAAAGTCACAGGGCGGACATCCCCAGGCTTACCCGACGATCAATGGATCAGAGAGGTCATCGCTTGGGAATCTCGTGTCTGGGCGAGCTACCAAACGCTGATTGCAGCCGCCATTATCGGACCCTCGGTCTTTGACGAGCTTGCCAATGAGTATACTGAGCCTGTTGTGGAAGAGGGCGATAGGCAATTGTGCCAGTCTTTGAAGATGCGGAAGTCTGGTGGCTTTGCGTGAGTGATCGCCTGTTTCCTCACCGAAAGAAGGGCTAACCAATGGGCGACAGCAACATCAACGTCTTCGCCTTGACCTTCGTCACTGCATTCTCTTTGATCATCACGATATGCAACACTCTAATCCTGCGCTTCTTCATCTTCATGTCACGCTTCCGTGCCGCTCTTGCACCACGGATAGACCGCTGGGTGCAAGACGGCATTTATCAGATGCAACGGCGCGCATTCGAAGCGCAAAACCAAGGGTATTGGATTCATCTTGAACAAGAGGTTCCCATCACGCTGCATCGGGAAAAGCTGCATGAGCTTCCTGTTGATTCGTCGCTTGCATTGAGGGCGACTGATCGGAAACGTCCAGCTGTGAAGTCACGACTCAGAAAATCGGGGACTACCGTTACGGAAGAGTCACTGACGGAAGTGCAGGAGGAGGTCGAACTTGAGAAGATGATAAGGCGGCCGACGGCTGGAACGGATACATTGACCTTGGTTGGGGTGGACTCGGAGAAAGGCGAAATGCGAAAGTGATCGACCCTCGTGTAGAATTTGAGGATCATAAGGTTGCAAATCCAATAGCATATGCGCATTAACTGTCGCGAGCCTCTGCGAATCTAGAATTTTTTTGGTGATCTCTACTGTAACGCTCTGCAGCTTAACAAGCAAGAGGAGCACGTCGGGAAGAGGAATAAACCTAATCCGCCTCAACAAAGCTGTTAACAGGTTCTGTGCACTCACTCCCGCATCACTACAATCCCAGTGTTCCTCACAAATGGGCCCGAGTACTTCGGACAACATCTGCTGCTATTTTAAGGAGCGCTAATAAAAAAAACCCCCCCTTACTTAGAAAAGTCTTTGTTAACACGCACAGAGCCAATGCGACTTATCTCTCCTCAGAGCCATCTCAAACCACCCAAATTTCACTGTGTTAGGTATGTACAAGTTATCCAACCTAGGATTATCTTGCACCCCAAGTACAGCAAAAACAAATCAACAGCACCTCAAAGGCAAAATCGAAAGAGGTTTGTTTGCGACGACCGAGACTCGAACTCGGGCCTGAAGCAGACTATGCAATGGACATGGGAAGCTTCAATTCTACCCTTAAACTATCGTCGCGGAGAATGTATCAAAAATTGACGAATAGAATGCTTATATTATACGTTTAGTTTGAGATACGGAACAATCAAATGCACGATTGCATCTCCAGGGCTCAAGATGGCCGGAAAGAGCGGCATAAACAAGTCTGACATTCGTCATGTGTAATAGTACTGGGATGGCGGAGTGGGGTCGAATGGCATTACCCCGCGGTTCCGGCTCCGGGTTCATAGAGCGCTTTTGGTCCGAGCGACGACAAATATATTCCCAACACACGGTTATGACACCAAACTTCATTTTCCCATGTATGATATGGTTGTCTATGGTACGCAAGTGTCAGATGTGAAATGCTGCAATCAGTGCAATGACGTAGAGAATCTAAGATTTGCCCCTGGAAGTGTATTATATGATCATGATTGGATAGCTAACCAGCCATAACAATTGAGTCGGATGAGCAATAAACTGTAGGCATGCTGAAATTTGACAAAAGTATAGATGGTTGTGAGGAAGGTGTACATGGGGTCTACGCGATTTCTGTATTTCCTTGTATAGGCAAGTACAACTAGACCGCAGACAACGGACAGAAGCAAGAAAAGAGCCTATAAGGTGAGGAGGTGCGCAGAGCTCTCAATCCGAGACGAACCCTTAGACTATAGGGGCTAATAGACTGATAGCAAATTCAGTACCCACAGAGGTCGGTTCGATGTGTTCATTTTGGTCGAACGAGGTCTGGACTTGTCGACGAGAAGTGCTCTAATTGTGTGATATGTTGGTACCATTACCTAGTCTACAGGACATCTACTCATACACCAAAAATTTGGTCAAACTCACAAACAGAACGTTGAAGAAAAGGGGTATCAGTCAACTTGCCCAGCCACCATATCTCACCCTGCCAATCCAGTTACACATGATATAAGCTGCGCCGAATGCCTACATAACAATGCACCGCTCCCGCTCTTCGTGTGGATTCTGTCCGACCGTCCCAGCGCTTTGACGCCGCCCAGGTCGGCCTTGCATGCTAGGCGCTGCCATCGGTCGACCAGGACGGCGAGGTGGAAGCATGCCGCCGTTGGCCTGATAAGCGCTGCTCTGAGGTGCCAGGGGTGCTGCTGGGTTGGCGGGATGGCCCTGCGGCGGATGGTACTGCGGGCTCGTTGCTGCCTCTTCATAGGTTGGTGGTGGTACAGGCTCATTCGCCGGTCGATGTGTGGTAACATTATTGCGACGCGGTGGAATGACGGGAGCGTTCTCGCCGCGCGAAGTACGGCGGTTGTTTGGTCGGGCTTGGGATTGTACTGCTATCGCGTTCACAGACGCTTGATTGTCGCGCTCGCGCTGTGCAGCTTCGCGCCTCTCGCGATCCTCCTCTTCCTCTTGCAGTTGCAATGCCAGAGCCAAATCATGGTCTTCCTGCTCGGCTCTACTTAATTGATGTGTTGACGTAACGCCCGCGGTATCGAAATTTTCCTGTACAGTTTGAGGCTCGTTTCCGCGACGACCTTGCACGGTTGTCCAGCCTTGACTGTCGTGTACATCGCTGGCATTATAGACCTGATCTGGCTGGGAAGGCATGCTATTGTTCCCGACAGCTCGAAAGTCGCCAGAGAACAACTCGCTCCCTTGGCCATTCACATCGGTAAGAGATTCCCATACGATATCATCATGGCTGGAGTACCCTTGATCTGTTACAAGGGTGAGGAGTCTATCTGTACGAGGATCCTTGAAGAGAGTCGAGAAATGATCGTTCCTGAATAAGATGGCCACTTGACCAGGCTGGATGCTCTCTCTCATGACCTTCAAGCCGTGATCGGTCAACTGAGTCGGCCATCTGCTGAGAAACTCCTTGATGGAGTGTATGTCGGTGAACATTTGCTGCTCATCTGAAGTCAGAGGCTCGCCCGACTGCAGCTTCGCGTCAAGCTCTTCTTCTTGAAATTGTACGTATTGCGAAGTCTCGTACGACTTGGCGACTCGTGTGAAGGCCGCATAAGCCTCCGAGGTCGCTTCTGGAAGCCAGCCGTGCATCAAGGGTATGTTGAAGGTACGATAAAGCTTCATGTCTGGCGTATTCTCAAAACCGCCAGCATTGCCTTGGCTCGTCAGTATTGTGCTGCCAGTGTTGCTATCTGTGTCAGGCACAAACATAGGGTTCACGTTGAGACCAGTGTGCAGAGCTAGCAGGAACTTGTAAAGATCGCTGACATCTGGGAGCTCCTGCGCGGCTGTCCCTCGCCGACCAGACATGAGCTCGTCGAAAACGGCATCCAGCAACAGTCCTAAGCTGACCTGCTCGCGAGTGCGGAGTGTCTCTACTAACGCAGTCTCGATGCCAGCGGGTGTGGAAAGCACGAGTGCATTCACCAGTGCAAGCAGGGGACAAGGACCGTTGAGGTTTTGCGTCAAGATGGGCGAAGTGCGGATACCAGGCTTGTTGACGTCGTGCCATCGAATGTGCTTGATCTGGTAGTGCTCTTTTCGTTGCCTGTTCATCCTCGTGTTGGGTGATTCCGGACCTGGACTGACAGCTGACCCCACGCTAGTATTGAGAGGCCGTGGAGGCATCGTTGGGGCCTGATCTTCGTGTGATCTGCGCGGGGGCAGGGCTGGAGGCTGCTCTTCGTTCGAGGCTAGTGGCGGCGGAGGAGGCATGCCCGCTGGTGGTGGTGGGGCGATGAACGGATTCGTCGAGGGGACTTGTTCGGCACGGTGGAAGCTATCTTCGTGAGCTCGCTCTTGTTCCGCTTGCACAGCTGCGGCCTGAGCAGCATGTGCCTCCCTTTGCCTCCGTTCTCTTTCACTCTTCTCCCAATCCTGCTGCTCCTGCCATGTTCGAAGAGGCTCTTGATGGTGCGCGCTATCAGGCAGGCCATGGCCACGAGCTGCAGCGTCAAGCGAGGTGACATCCGTACCTGGCTCCCACGGGTTTGATACGGTCGAGTCGCGGTGTGGATCGGTGGACTGTGGGCTGTTCAATGGGGTCGGCGAATTAATGGCGATCAGGGGCGGCTGATCTGGTGACCGAGGTCTTGGTGCTGGAGGTATGCTGCTGTTGAGCGCGAGGTTGGACATTTCATGCGATGGCGTGGTGGGTGTCTGCGAGGCGGGTAGCTCGGCAGGCTCATCGTATCTTGTGCCCTGGCCCTGTGAGTCCCCCCATATTTGCTGGCTGGACTCGCCGCCCCAATTGCTCTGCCCTGTCTGCTGCACCTTGAGGTAGGGATTATTTGTCTGCAGCGGTATCGACCCGTTCGACTGGTCCGAGACGGTGCTCATTGCGCCGTACGAAGCGGCGCTGGCGCCTGTCGGCATCGGGGAGATGTTCTCGAGCGACCGCTTGATCGGGACACCGGCGGGTGGCCCTGCTCGTAGGGCGTCCGGCAGGCTGTTGCTGGGCATGGGGTGCTTTCCACCAGCAGGCTTCAGAGCATCGGGCACATCTTTGGCATTGACCTGCTCGAAGTCGTCGTCATCGTCGGACCTGTTCCACTCGTCATCGCTGAAGTCTGAGTCCGAGTCCTGCGTCTTGTTCTGTGCCTTTGCTTCTTCGAGCGTCTTGAAGTTGAAGGCGGGTGACTTGTTGAGATCGGGCGAGTATGGCGCATCAGCGGAGGCCGGCAGGGTGGGCGGATGCTCCTCCAAGGGTGTAGTCGGGTATGGAGGATTAGCTTTGGACAGCGGTGCTGGGACGAGTCCCGCCTGCGACTCTGGCTCTTCCTTGCGCAGGACCATGGTTGGAGGAGGTAATTGTGTCGTGGCTGTTTAGTACCGCGAAGTGCCCCGGGGAGCACTTTGCGCGTGAAAGGTGAGGTATCGTGGACGAGGTGAAGAATACAGGACAGCGCAGAAGGATGGAAGCAGTGCAAACATGTGGCGGGAGCTTGCGGTGTTGCGGAGTGGTACACGCGGCAGGCAGGAGCCGAGTATCGCGACAGCAAGAGCGGCCTATGACGACGCTGTGGCTCAGCACCTGTGGCGGCTTTTTGGCGGTTGGCGGGCGCTGCAACGGGTGGCGGAGAAAACTAACTTTGGTGCTCTTAGCCGTGCATCAAACTCACCCGAATCAGTAGAAGTCGCGAGCTTCACGCTTCACGCAACGTCGACCTTGCCAAGTGCGGCAAAATTCACACACCGTCCTGGGCAGTCGCGCAGAAATATACCAGAAGGAGCGATGCACTCGTTCATCCGACCCAATACGCATGTTGCGCTGCGGCTTCCCTCAGGCCTCTTCAAGATCTTCGAAATCACTCCGAATACGTACGTCGCATAGTCGGAGTGAGCCCTCCATTGCGCGCTGCACGTGGTCGCAGTCACTGATGTCCCCTCAGAAGCATTAACCTTGGTAAATTCGGCACCTTCAATTCGAATCTCATCCTCGGACGCCCTTACTACCTCACCTACGAGTTGCTCGACAAAGACGATGGCCGAGCGAAGACCGAACTGCGCGTTGTCCCTGCCTCAGAGCTGCACGCCGAAGCACTAGGAAGCGAACAAGTTCCCGTCGCTGAAACAGGCGACGAGACTGCCGAAGGCGATGCTGGCTTCGATATTGTAGGCGACGATGGCAAGGTCATCATGCGCAACAACCGCCTGACCGTGGACGATGCATCGCGGCAAAAGCTCAGCATGGATGAGATCGAAGAGCTCAAGAAGGCTGGCACCGGCTCCGGCAAGGACATCATTGCCAAGATCATGGCGTCGCACAACGCAATTGACGAGAAGACATCGTTCTCTTTGGCGAAATACACACTGCGGAAATCGAGGAAGTACCTGAAGCGATTCACGGCGCTTCCTCTGGATGTGGCAACTCTGACAGAATATGTGCTGGAGAAGGAAGCGTACAAAATCATGGAGCTACGGGAGGATTTGCTCGGACTCATCTGCAGCTGGGCGAACATCCACTGCGGCGCTACCACTCGAATACAAACGACAGAAGATGGTATCAGCCAAATAGGAGGAGGGAGATGGCTAGTAGTAGACGACACTGGCGGCCTCGTTACCGCAGCCTTGGCGGAGCGCATGGG